GTACGTGGATTAGGAAAGATTGTAAAAGGTGGGAAAGAAGCGTCGGAAGCGGAGGTTTAATGGTAAGGCGATTTAGTTAGGGCAAAAGTGTGTGTGTGTATAGAGGTAGAGAATAGGATAGAATAAATTAAAGTATAGATTAAGTTAGTTGTAAGCAAGTTAATTGTAAGGTCTTATCGTAAAGTAGTGGTAAGAAGTAGTTGTAAGAAACCTAAGACTGTAAATAAGGATTGTAAAAAGATTGTAACCAAGATGGGAATCAATAAAAGTATCTATCTATCTATCTATATCTAATTTCTCAACAATTCAGTAAGTTGTGTCTTAACATTTTTGATGAGATTCTTTTTTATTTTTTCGTAAGTGAGGAGATCATCAAGTAAATTGAGTAAAAAAAGATTATATCACTGATTTGGTTTCCAAATGTATTAAATGGAGTGATGGGATCATCCCAAGGGCTTATGGAGTGCCCAAAATCCACAAACAGGGCTTTCCATATAAATTAATAGTATCTTCCATTAATAGCCCCCTACATTGTTTTGCTGAATATATATACAATATCATTGTCAAGAGTATTCCGTTAACCGACAGCCACATCAATAACAGTTTTGATTTGGTCCATAAACTAGGCAACGTTGTGCTGCAGCCTAATCACGTTCTTTTGTCTTTAAACGTGGTCTCATTATTTACGAACATTTCGATTGATTTGGCCATGCGAAGCATCAAGATTAGATGGAAATACATTCGACTCGAGACAAAGCTCGCTCTCTCTGATTTTTTGAAGGCGGTTGAATTTGTTTGGTCATGTACTTAGTTTTTGTTCAACAATAATGTATATAAGCAAACCGTTGGAGTACCGATGGGTTCACCATTGTCTTCTATTATCGCGGATATAGTAATGCAAGATTTGGAAGTTTCTATATTAAAAAACTTATATAAAATTCAGACTCGCTGGTTATTACTGTTATGTGGATGACATTATTCTAACTGCGCCCGCCAACGATTTAAATTATCTTTTGGATACTTTTTACGGATATAATGACAGATTGAAGTTCACAATTGAGATGCAGAATGGAAATTCTTTGAGCTTTTTAGACGTCAAACTGATTGTGTCTAATAACGGGACAATTATGTGCGACTGGTACCATAAACCCACATTTTAGAGCAGGTATTTTAATTATCACTCCTCACACCCAGTCTTTCAAAACCTAGGAACTATTATCGGAATGGTAAACAGAGCTCTGTTATTGTCTCACCTTGTGTTTCAAGCAAAGAATATGAAATTTATAATCAACATCCTCATCTCTAACAACTATCCGTTGGAAATAATTTTTAAAGTCATCAATGACCGGATAAAATGTCTGATTGCGGACAAAATTAACGGAATATCGAATAGTTTGGAGTCCACACCAACTTAAAAAATTATTCAAAATTATTTTGTCGTACCTTTTATTAATAAAATATCGCGCACAATTTCAAAAATCGTTGACAAAACGGGAAATGGAAATATGTTAGCTTATAGAAGTCTCAATAAATTGAATCGATTTGTCAAAAATATCAAAGATCCTGTAGATATTGAACGAAAAAACGTAATTTATAAGTTGCAATGTAAAGGGTCGTCTACAATGGAGAGTTTTAGACTGTAACAGTAAGAAATTGACAAATCACAATCGATTATTCTTCTGTACTTTGTCTGTGATTGGTCAATTTTTTACTATTACGGCCTACAACTCTCCATTGTAGACGGCTCTTAATAATTGCAATGCTTCGTACGTAAGCCAAACTATAAGACAACTCAAGACTAGGGTTTCCGAACACAAAAATCAAATTAATCGTCGCGTTGAGACTATTTCTGTAGTCACATAGCATAGAATTGACACGGACCACAATTTCAATTGGCAAAATGTCAAAGTCTTGGACACAAAATCTTCCTTTTTCAAGAGATCCGTTTCCGAGATAATACACATCAAATTACAAAGCAATTCACTTAACGTCATATCGGACACGGACAAGCGGAAACCATATTTTTCATTTTTAGAAAATTACAAGGCGACTTAGTCGTCGTTCAATTAAAGCAATGTGGTAGGGATGAGACCGTTACATGTATCTTGAATATGGAGGGGGCCGCTCAGTCTGTCAGTTACTTTCGAAGCGGGAGGACGGTTTGTGTCCTGTTGCGTAATACTGACGACTACGTGACTGCCATTTCCGCCTTTTTTTTCTCATACCGAATATCTGTGTAGCGTACCTTTTTTATGCATATTCTTCATACTCTTGAATAGATCATTATTTTTTTGTATTTTGTTATTAAAACATTGAAGAAGATTCCATAGTAGATCGAAACGTTTGTTAAAATTTTTGTAAAATCTTAGAATTATAAAAAAATTGTACCCGAACATTTGGTGGTAGCTTGTTATTGCCATTTTTTAAATTCTTTTTATTTAAAAATATTCAACAAGCTGAAAACATAATTAAAATAGATAAGAGATTATTTTATAAAAGTCCACATTTTATCTATCCAACTACTATCTATCAGGCGTAAGGATAGTAAGAATAATTGTAGTAATAATTGTTTACAAGATAGATAAAACTAAAGAGAAAAAAGAATTAGCACGCATTGCTGTAGAGCTGCGTAAAGGCCATCACACAAAATTACTTAAAATCGTAAGACGTAGCTGTAAAGAAATTGACCAATTAGAAATTTACGTCCAAAAGTGATGGGGACATAGTAGTACATTCTGATTGGTCAATTTTCTTACGGCTACGTCTTACGGTCTTAAGTAATTTTATGTGTGATGGCTTTAACAGGATGCTGAACCGTCCTGTTATACCAACGGGATATGTCATTTTAGTAGAACTAACTGATCTCATTATGTACTGAATCAAATCAAAAATGCTTCTCCAAAAGTAAAGAACGTAAAGAAACACATCTCTGCCTGGTCCTTTGACCACAGAAAAGAACCAAAAGTTACACTTGCCTATTATTATTTGATCATATTTTTCTATTTTTAAATAATTTCTAAGTATTGTAAAACCATACAGACACCAGACAGAGAAGCGGATGATATAAAAGAATACAGTCAAACCTCGATAACTCGAACCTCTATGACTCGAAAACTTCTATAAGACAAAAATTTTGTTCATTCCCTTCTGCTCCGCGGAAATGAAAAAAGATCTTCGATAAGTCAAAACCTTTACAAATCGAAGATTTTAGCTCTTCCCTTGAGATTCGAGTTATCGAGGTTTGACTGTATAATAGAACGATCAAAATGTGATTTTATTGTCTAGTTTACGAGAATAGTTAGATCTTCTAATGAAGCACATACGATAGTAGAAAGGATACGGACACAAGCAGACAGTCGCGTACGTATGCATATTGCCTCCACTATCAAACGGGCAAAAAACCGAACAAAAGACAAGAAAAGAGATATACGTCTATTCTTGTATAAAGGGCACCACCTACTAGACAGCGTAGCAGCAAAGCAGCTGTTAAGCCGCTGGTTCAGCATTCTTTTAATACAGAGCGACGTGAGAAGCGACGAAAGCTCATGCGCAGAGCACCGAACCGTCGCATTGTAAACCTGTAGTTAGCCGTTTAGATAATACGAACTAAAGTAAGTAAGTAATATACTGTAGGAAGTATAGTAAAGTGATTTATATTGCGGTATGTGTGGGAGAAAATTATATATTTATAGTAATGTGTAGAGAATAATTTAGAAACAAAACAGAAAATGTCGTTGCATACATTTTCCTTTTTCCTGGAAAGAGGGAAAATGTGCAACACTTTTAATAATTAAATAAAGTAAGTATGATTTAGGTCGGGCCATTGAGCAACATGATGAGCAATCACTATCATTGCTCATTTTTACTATAAAGATTCAAATAGAGTTGAAAACTACCAACAGTTCTTAGAAAAATTGTTGATTGCATAGAGACGACACATCGCCACATTGTCGAAAATGCAACGCGGCGTGACAACATCGGCAACTAGCACGGCCGTTTCTAGGGGTAATAAGGCTACTGAATCAACGCGATCGATCTGCTATAAATCAATCGCGCAATTGAAGGGCAGACTGTGAGTAGACAGCGATCAGAACGTTGTATAAAGAACATTGTAAGAAAGGAGCAATAAAAGATTCTTTCGGAATTCACAAAAGGATAGTTTTCCATCAAATCTGTCCAACCTCTTCTTGACACTTAAAATTTACAAAGTTAAGCTCATGTAGCATCAAACTAGCAAAGAATTTTTCGGCTAATATGAGCCATATAATGAATGTACATACGAGGAATATATTTTTAAACGTGTAAATTATTACACGTTAATAATGCAAACCAATTCAAAACTTCATATTAAAAGTTTGTTTTTGCATAACATATATGAATTATCCTTTTTCCTTCTCTATAATAACTCTGTTCAATTCCACAAAATATTGCTTAAAAACTTTCATTGTCATCAAATATTTTTTATTTTAGATTATATTTGACTAAATCTTTTTCAAATTTGTTTATCGCGATTATAGAATAAAATTGTTACTTTGTTTAATTGTTTGTTGTTAATTGTTACTGTGTTTTTTCTGTATAATTTATCTTGTTGTAAGGCTTTTAATTGTTATCACGTTTTTGAACAGTTATCTAAACGTTTTTATCTCTGTAAGTCAAGTGTACTAAACGACACAACATCAATAAAGTAACATTTGGCATCTAAATTTTTAACTCAAAAGTCGTCGGTTAGTGCACTGATTTGAGAGTAATCTCAATTTTTCTGACTGCAATGACTAGCAGTATTTTCGCGGAAGATTCTGCTTATTGTTGTTTAAATTATCCCGTTGCAAATTATCCCGAGTGACGCGAAATATTAAATATATAGAAAAATTGTTGCACACAATATGGAAAAAAACAAGTATTACACAAGATAAAAAATTACCGGATTCATTTGATTTTTTGTGCTTTGAGTCGCTATGACCTGTTGCTGCTGTTGCAAACGTTGCTGCTTCAACATTTGTAACGCCAATGTGTCTTGTTGCATGCTTTGCTTTAGATTCGTTTCTTGGTGAAGTCGTTGCTGTTGTTGAGGAGACGGTTCCGCTACTTCTTGATGGATAAATGGTATTTTGTAAATTGTTACGTTCATCACTGCAGGTTGCTTAGTCAGTGGTTGAGAGCCAAGTGGCAGAGGTCGAAAAGGCGGTATTTCTTGATAAGTTTTTATCGATTCTGCCGCCCGCACAGAAGTTTCTCTGGCATTTGAAGTTGCCTATAAAAAATGTAATATACATGAACAAACAATCTTTGTTCTTATTCTTCTTTAAATGTATGAGTAAAGTCTTAGATAATACTTAACCTTCCGTTATCACACTAAGTCAAAATGATCTAAAATTTGATGTTGAAGTAAAATATTTTTGAGATATTCCAAGGTGGTTTTCAAATTTGAACCGCGTTAGTATCATTTTTACTGTATCAGGTTGCTTTTGACAAAGTAAACTGAACTGTTCATAAAACGTCGGTATAAAAACCAAACTTGAAAAGCATCTTTGAATATTAATATAATACACGGCAAAAGCATCACATAAGACAAGTAAAGATACTTCCCGATTGAAAAAAAGCATGTTTGGTAGTACATGTTTGACAGCCGTCGAAAGTTGTAAGGTCAAATTGACCTAAGTGTGATAACAGCATCGTTTTTGCTCTAAATTACGTACAGTTATATTTGTGTAAAGAAGTGCTCAGAAAAGTAAAACAAAAATCATTTTTATATAAAATTTTATTATTTTATTTAACAAAGGAATCTCGCGAAGTGTCAATCTGATCTTACTGAAACTTTGTGTACATTTAGATTACATAAATAGATGAATTTATATCAGTTGATGCTAAAAAACGATTTTAAGGAGTAAAATCATTTCTAATATATCAAGCAATTTTTAGCTACTTTCATGATATCTCAAAAACGATTGAAGATATCAAAAATTGTTTCACACAAAAGTGTTATAATAAAATTACCTCAATTTATCTATGTTAATAATATTAAAAAACTTTAAATAAAAACAATTAAGGAAATGGCAATAACAAGCTAACACCAAATGTTCGGGTACAATTCTTTTATAATTCTAAGATTTTTAAAAAGTTTTAACAAACGTTTCGATCCAATATGGGATCTTCTTCGGTGTTTTAATAAAAACTTACAAAAAATAATGATCTATTCAAGATCATGAAGAATATGGATAAAAAAAGATACGCTATACAGATATTCGGTATGAGAAAAAAAAGGCGGAAATGGCAGTCACGTAGTCGTCAGTATTACGCAACAGGACACAAATCGTCCTCTCGCTTCGAATGTAATTGACAGAGTGAGCGGCTCCCACCATATTCAAGATACATGTAACGGTCTCATCTCCACCACATTGCTTTAACCGAACGACGACTAAGTCGCCTTGTAATTTTCTAAAAATAAAAAATATGGTTTCGGCTTGTCCGTATCCAGACAAGCTAAATGATAGTTATATCACTGATGTGGTTTACAAATGTATTAAATGGAGTGATGGGATCATCCCAAAGGCTTATGGAGTGCCCAAAATCCATAAACAGGGCTTTCCATATAAAGTAATAGTATCTTCCATTAATAGCCCCCTACATTGTTTTGCTGAACATATATACAATATCATTGTCAAGAGTATTCCGTTAACCGACAGCCACATCAATAAGAGTTTTGATTTGGTCCATAAACTAGGCAACGTTGTGCTGCAGCCTAATCACGTTTTTCTGTCGTTAAACGTGGTCTCATTATTTACGAACATTCCGATTGATTTGGCCATGCAAAGCATCAAGATTAGATGGAAATACATTCGACTCGAGACAAAGCTCGCTCTCTCTGATTTTTTGAAGGCGGTTGAATTTGTTTGGTCATGCACTTAGTTTTTGTTCAACAATAATGTATATAAGCAAACCGTTGGGGTACCGATGGGTTCACCATTGTCTTCTATTATCGCGGATATAGTAATGCAAGATTTGGAAGTTTCTGTATTAAAAAACTTATATAAAATTCAGACCCGCTGGTTATTACTGTTATGTGGATGACATTATTTTAACTGCGCCTGCCAACGATTTAACCTTTAGAGGACCGGAAAACCAATATTTTGGCGCACCAGAATAACTTGTTCAATTTCTTTTTTTTTATTAAATATTAATGTACTTAATATTATTAGCAATTTTTAATATTATTTAATGTCAAATTGCCCGTCTCTCCCCTACTCATCCCGTACCCCTAATTTTCATGTGAGATATTCTAAAACAAATACATGGCTTGATTCGCGTGCGGCTGCAATTATAAACAAATTTATTTTTATTTGAGGTTTTTGAAGTTGCTATTTACTAGTAAAACAATTTGGCAAATTTGTGAATAGCAGATCAAAAATATATTTATTGATTATGCCTGCCCGTTTATCGTCGCCCGTCCTTGCCATACGTGAGAACGGCGCGTAGGAGCACCTGTCGCCTCGCGTTCTCTGTCAGGCTCGAGATACACTTATTTTTTTTACTTGTGTTGATACAACAATTTCCGTTACTTTTTATCTTCCTCGTACTTTATTACTTTTGCTATACAATGAATACAGGTGATGACAAAGCTTGGAGTAGTGGAGAGTCAGAGCCTGAAGATGAGAATATACTAGATGTACACTATGATCCTTATTTTTACCCATCTATAAAAACTTTTACTGGTTAAGCACGTATTCGTGATCACGTGTCTCTAGACGAACCTACTCTATTAGAAAGACTTGACGCTCGTGAAATTGTTAACAGGAATCAAATAAGGCCGATACGAGCCATTCGCAGGATGTTTGTGCGGAAACTATGCGTGTACAAATATATATATATATAAATGTAACGAATTTTTACTTGTAAATTTTTACAAGTATTTTTTGAATTGAAATGTCAATTCTTAAATTTATACGGGATGCTAGATTCAAAAAATACTTGTAAAAATTTACAAGTAAAAATTCGTTACATTTATATATATATATATTTGTACACGCATAGTTTCCGCACAAACATCCTGCGAATGGCTCGTATCGGCCTTATTTGATTCCTGTTAACAATTTCACGAGCGTCAAGTCTTTTTAATTACGCTGGCTGAAAATTAGCGTTAACAACATTATCAGACCATCTTCGATATATGTATAAGTATTGCGAGACTAACTCCAAGTGCCTCGGTGGCCTAACAGGGAAGGCGATGGCACGAAAAGCCGGAGATTCCAGGTTCGACTTCTGGCCGAGGAGTTTTTTTCGCAATATTTTAAAATTAGTTAGGGGGGTATCCGGGGTTTTCCATATGTGAGATGCAAATCTAGCATCCCGTATGAATTTAAGAATTGAGATTTCAATTCAAAAAATACTTGTAAAAATTTACAAGTAAAAATTCGTTACATTTATATATATATATATATATTTGTACACGCATAGTTTCCGCACAAACATCCTGCGAATGGCTCGTATCGGCCTTATTTGTTTTCTACTCTATTAGAATGTTTGAAATATTTTTTAAATACATTTCTTGTAAATTTGATTGTAGAACAAACCAATCTTTTTCAAGAACAAAATCGATGGATCCGAACCGGATCGAATACATATGAAACCGTGGACTCCTATCACTGAAGACAAATTATGGATAATGATTGCTTTATCAATAAACATGGGTCATGTTGTAAAAGGGCAACTAAAAGATTATTGGAGCCAAGATCCACTGCTGTACACTCCAATATACGGCAAAAGTCTATCTCGAAATAGATATCTTCAAATTTTGCAATACCTTCACTTTTCTAATAATGAAGAAGTTTCCAATCATCCTTTGAAAAAAATCAACCCAGTGATAGATTATTTGAAAGAAAAAATTTGGTAATACTATTATTGCTGGTGAAAAGCTTTGCATTGACAAAAGTTTAGTCTTATGGAAAGGGAAGCTAAAATTCAAACAATTCTTACCATTAAAGAGACACCGATTTAGTATGAAGATATTTGAATTAGCGGACTGCNAAACAGGATTTCTCTTAGATTTTATAGTATATACTGGCTTAGACACTGATTATGAGAAATTTGATTTAGGCGTTTTTGGTGATATTGTTGCACATTTCATGCAACCTTATTGTAACAAAGGGCGTGTGTTATACACTGATAATTGGTATACATCTCCACAACTGTCAGACTACTTACATGACAGAAATACTGGTCTTTGTGGAACTATAAAAAAAAATCGTAAAGGAATGCCGACTCTCAGTTCAAAGCTAGATCGTGGTGAAACAAAAGTTGCCCACACCGATTCTTGGATGGTAATCAAATGGATAAAAAGAAAGTTTATGTATTGACAAGTATTCACGAACACCAGTTTTGTAAACCTGGTAGGAAAAACTACAAAACCAATGAAGATTGGTTTTTTTATTATAAAACTTATTTGTATCGTGGATTATAACAAAAATATGGGTAAAATCAATGATATCGACAGACAATTATCTTTGACAGAATCTATTAGAAAATGTATGAAATGGTATAGAAAATTGTTTTTTCATTTAATTGATTTGATGTTGATAAATGCCCACAGTTTATTCAAGATGCTCACTAAAAATGCGATTTCGTTTCCTGATTTTCGATTGAGCGTCGTAAGAGATATTTTGCAAGTAAATTCTCAAGAAGTTTCATTATTTACATCGCCTGATCTTAGACTGAATGGACGACATTTCCCCAGAAAAATTCAAGCTTCAAATGATGGTAAAACGCTATCACGTCAATGTGTTCTATGCACTATACACAAAAAGAGAAGTCGATCATCATATAAGTGTACAAAATGTTGTAAAACTTTATGCATTGAACCTTGCTTTGAAATTTATTACACTAAGCGATCATTGTCGTAATTTATAAAATTAAAAAAAGCAATAAAAGAATTTTTAAAAAAATCAGAAAATAAACAAAAACAACAAAAACAAAAAACCATAAAATTGAATAAAAAATAAAAAAAATGAAAAAAATAAAAAAATAAAAAACAAAAAAATAAAAAAATAAAAAGACAAAAAAATAAAAAAACAAAAAAAATTAAAATAAAAAAAAAACATAATTCTGCCACAGACGGTTCCAAACCCGTGTTCAAAAGAAGAGGGTGTTTCAAAATCATACGTGATAAAAGGGGTAGTTTTTGTAATATTATAGGGGTTATGTCCAGGTATATTGTGTTTTTGACATTGGATTTTGATTCTACATCGAAAAATACATCGG